CTCAAACATCTTTCTCTCAAAACAAGTAAAAGAACAGTATTTTTATAAGCACTGAATATAGATGAAATGTGCCTTTTTCCCCCTAAATCCATAAGAGATTATTGGGATGAACCATACAAGACATTCTAGACATAAACAAAAGGAAAACCTTGGCAATTATAATATATGCAAAAAAGTATGATATTCTCTCTGGGTGGAATATTCCTACCTTGCTATGTTTATATAAAAAATGCATTCATGATACCTAAAGGTAATTGAGTACAGCTGTAAAATTAAGAAGAATGTATGTCTACAAACAATGCACTAATCAAGATGATTTTAAGAAATGTGAATAGAAATCTTGATATAATTTATTTTAACACTTTGTTATATTACTTAGAATGACATTTATTGAGATTGCAATTTTCAACCAATGTAGAGGTAAAATCTATGCAAACTCATAGTTGTGTTGGAAAAAAAAACACAGGGTAACATCTTTGAATGTAATATGCAGACTGACTTCAATAGTTTTTTAAAAAAAATAACTGCAAATAAAAATTTGTGATTAACATTGCCATTGCCTTCAAAATATTCTTTGAATCTATTTACTAAGTATGTGACTATGCATATATTTATTAAAAATAGTTTTACCATGAGGCTCTAATGTTAAAAGAAGGATTGCACAATCATTTTCCGCAGAACTTTTTAGCTTGCATTAATTTTTCATTAAAGTTACTCAGTCTTATCATGTATTTAAACGAGATAGTTTAAAATGGTTGAGGAGAGCTGATGAATAAGGTTTAATATCAAGAGATACTATTTGCCCTTCATTGAACATAGTTATTGCATTTTGTTTCCATTACCTGATAGTTTGGTTTGAATATGCAGTACATTTAAATGAGGGAAAATCCATCAGATAAAAAGAAAATGCCATTGCAATGTTTGTACTGCTATGTAATGGAGCTCTATGATTTGTATGGAAAATTTATTTTAAAAATGCATTACAACATAATAAAGTTATAGGAGAAGTTACAGCATTTGCTTTTTGTGCACCATATCATGAGCATTCACAAAGGGTACAATACAATACAAAGAAAAAAGCCTGATCTGTAGCTGCTGGATTCTCTAAAGGGTGGCAGACTTCCTTACTGCCCTTAAACACCTCTGAATGTTTTCTCCTGTGCACAGCAGGCTCTTGTCCCATGCTGCAGCCTGACCACCCACTGTTGCTTGTTGACCAAACAGGCAGGGCCTAAAGCCTATACCAACAAAAGTAGGATAGGATTCCTTTCAAACTGAAGACTCAATTTTCAGAAGCGAGAAATTCAGGAAGTTAAAATTAATCTGAAGGAATAATACATTTTAAAATGCTGGTTCATTCCCTATGTTTCTGCAACATTTAAAACCTAAAGTAGAACATTTATAGAATATTTATTCAAGATGTATACTAAAAGGGCTACTTAGGTTTATTAAGCTGCTTGCTGCTATTACTACTGTAGTTTCGTTTAAAAAAAATTAAACATATATTTAAAATACAAATGAAATTTTATACTGAACAAACTGTATTGATCCAGATTCAGTTAAATCACCGGAAACCCTCCCACCCCAAAATTAAGTCAACCTTAACTTAAATCCCTCTGATTCAAGCAGTCTATGCTAAATACGACTAAATTTGGATCAACCCAAATCTGTAGTGATAAAGGAGGTTTTTATTTTTAAAGTTTATGAGATTTTTCATGAAATGTAGAAATAAAGCCTATTCTTAATATTTATCTTGTTTCTGAGCTGCTTCTCTTAATGCTTTAAGTGAATGGTACAATGCCAAACCAAACCTCTTATTTATTCATTTAGATCTCATTGGGAGCCTTTAAACTGCCAGGGGGAAAATGCCATTTTAGATGACGTAAAGGAAGCCAATTCTTTGGCTTTGCTTTTCAAAGATAGTGGAAGAGGTGGGGTCCACAACACCCTTCCCCAACCTGACACCCTCCAAATATTTTGGGACCAAATGATACAAGGTTGGTCAAAGTTGGATTAGAGAATAGGATCTAGCTGCTCAGTGCATTAATTTCCTGCTGGAGTTTCCAACCTGCAACAGATGAGCAAATATTCTGAACCCAACTGCAATTACTGCCAAGTGCATTTATGTAAGTAAAATGTAGTGAGTGTATAATTTTATGTTTGTATGATGCCAGTGGATGAGCAAACTTCACCAATTTTGAAATGGAACCATTTATCACATTTAACATATGAAGCTACACAGCATGTTTCTGAATGCTAGTCTTAATATTGCTTGACATTCATAGTAGTTGGAACTGGATTCATTTAAAGCTTTTTCTCCACAGGTTTCAAGGCAAAATTCCCAGTTAAGATGTACAGGAGTTTGCCTATCTTTCCCTTTATTATGCATTTAAGATCCATAGTGCACAAATTTACATAAATGCAGTCATGGCCAGGTTCATATTGTTTTAAATAGGGACCAAAAGAAAGAAATTATCATCTCAAGAGTCATTAAAATTATGCTAAATTCATGAAGATTTACCAGCTTTGTCAAGGATTTCAATGATTAACGTTTTACTTTTCAATACCATGCCAAGGCTTTTCTTGTCATTAGGTATTAAAAGAATATTCTTATTAGGAATGGGGGACATGGGTTAGACATGAAATAGCTCACAGCTGCAAGAGGCCTTCCTCCAGATGTACACTATACAAAGACAACATAGAAGAACTAGCTCTAGGATAACAAATTTTAAAAGCTTCTTTGATACAGGCCATATTGGTTTACCTGATCAAACAAAAATATATCATACATTGCATGTGAATATAAATGTTGCATAAGACAAGAAAAGGTAAGGCATACAGCATTCTGGCTACTTAGCCCTTAGGCATAGCTACTGGTAATTTAACGTAAAGCTTTTTTTTTTTTTTTACTAGAAGAATTGAAAACCTGTCTTCCTCTTAAAAAAGAAGTATGAAATACTTCTTAGAAATATTGTATAGGAACTATGATTTTCTTAATCATATCTAGGATTAATTCAAGTTTTCTTAACAAATATCCTCATCAACTGTGTATCTAAATTATACAGCCCTCCTACCTGCATGTTTGTAGAAATATACAAATCAGGAAATGCTAGTTTGAAGATCTTTTTGCTTCTTCTAAGGCCAGGAGAAAGTGAAAAGAGCAGAAATTACAGACCAAGCAGCCACATCATACTAAAATTCTTCCCAAACTGGAAAACATAGTTTTATCACATTTATCAGCATGGGGAATTCTGACCTATAGTACTCCTGTGGTGATCGTAATCCAGTTTGTTTCTTGACTTAGCATAATATATGTGCAAATTTATTCCAGGAAAGAAACTATGTACAAACCCTAGTGGATGGCTTTATAAATCCATTAAGCTGGAATCAAATCACATGATGGCTTAATGGAGTGTAAAGCCATCCTGATTACTGTAATTGTTAATGAGGTTTTTTTCACCCACAAACAATATACCTGTACACTCAATTCTCACCCTTTTATATATTAGACTGATATTGTAATCACAGGTTGTCAATTTATTTAATACCTCACCATTACACTCTGGCAAATACTTAGGGAGGCTAACAAAATATAAGAACAAAAAACAAACATAATAAGCATAATAAACATAAACAATTAAAATGATCTATTTAAACTAACAATAAATTGAGCCATAACATCATTGATCAATCAAAAGTCTGGCAAATAAATGCATCTTGACAGATTTGCTGAACATTGAAGCAGGAGGGTCCAAACACAACTCCAGATGGAGTGTGTTCCTTAGTTTGGACTCTCTCCTGCATGCCAGGAAAAAAAAAAAGACTCAGATAATACACGCTGACTTACCAAGATATGAAATCAAAGTCAGATTCTGCTTTCATTATTACACAATTGTTCACAGTATCATTTTAGACACTTTGGTAAACCTACTTCAATGAAGATACATTCTTCATTAAGCAACTCTATTATCAAAATGACACACTTCACATACACTGGAAGAATAGGTCAGACTCATTTTCTTCCAACAGTATTTAAAAACTGAAGCCTGAGGATGAACACAAAAGAAGCAACTGCTGCACACAATCTCTTTACCATTGCTTGTCTTTTTCAGCAGAAGACAGACAAACAGCAGTGGAAAAATTCTCAGCCTGCTTCTCATACAGAGAGATCTGATTCCCTTCTTCTAGTAGTAAATCTAGCTTTCAATGAGCTTAATTCTATAAATAACTAGACAACCCTGTGACCCGTTGGGTCATCCTTTGAGGGAAAAGTAGTACAGTCTGCAGATGTGACCAGAATGAACATTAAATTTTAGGCTGACCATTTTTTTTTTTACCCCAATGCTGGACAGTCCTGTGATCATCTAAGAAGAGTATATATCATAAACATAAAAATAATTGTAGTGGCAAACGAACTTCAATAAGTCAATATTTACTTACCTAAACAGATAAACAGAATGACCAGTGATGGGCAAAAAAGCAGTGGGAGTGGGAGCGACTTCTAACTTCTTGCCGGCTTCCCCAATGACCTTGCTTGTGGGAAGCTGACAGAGAGCGTCGGAAATCACGATCATGTGACTGCAGGGATGCTGCAATGGCCACAACTTTGAGAATAAAACTGGTCTGAACATCATGGAAATTTCAATTCCACAGGAGTAACTGGTCATGGATTTTTAACGCATTCTTTAAGCTAGCGGAGCTTAGGTACTTTGATTCAAAAATTGGTGTGGTATAATGCACCATTTGGGCTAACTTGAGGATACAGACAAACGGATAAATGCAATGAGAATTTTAGTAGTATATAGACAGATTAAGGTTGCAATGTTAAATTGGAGTCTAAGATGTACCAGGTTGCAAGGAGACACAGAATAAAATTGTAAAGTTCAGTTTAAATGAAAACCTTGATTAAAATGTTACATGTTTTTTAAAAAAATTACATTAAATAAAGAGAAATGTTGCATCATAAGTTCAGATAATTCCCTAAACAGAAATACAATTACCTTTTTGTTCTTTAATGTAGCTCTCTTTACAGTTATGCATAAGCTGCAGAATCCATTTATGCTGTGCACCAATGCATTGCCAAGCTGGATCTCCTTCTGCATGGAGGTCAGAAAGGTATCTGTAAAATTGTAATTTTGAAGAAAGGAGGTTTGGAATGCAACATAGCAGGCTTTTCCTCTATGTGCTTCATTACTCTTCCACTAAATTCAATTGAACCTACTTCTTGGAAATTCAGTATAAAATTGCTTTTAGAAACACTACTCCAATAAAAAGAGGACTCTAAAGACTAAGTATGGCATAAGATTTTATTTATTACCAGTATTTTATATTAATCTCCATTAAATAGAAGCCCCTAGTTAACTTAACTAAGCAGGGATGAAAAAGCTGATCGGGATCAGATTTTTCCAGTATGTGGGAGAGCACCAGAAAATCCCAAGGCTATACTGTAGATTAGACTGGGAAGTTGAAAGAAATGTCTTGAAGAAGATAATGGCAAACCACTGTCAAGTAAACTGCATGGATGTGCCCATGAAGTCATTTCAAGTCAAGCCTGTTTAAGAGATACTTGAATTTACATTATACGAACACAGTTGTGTTTTTCTATTATAGCCAAAAATCAGAAGGAATCTGGTAGCACCTTTTCCCACAAAATGTGTTAGTTGGAAACTGTTTCTTGGTGCAAAGGATCCCAAAGCAGATTCACAAAATATTATTCACAAGTGGAGTATCTGTGTGTGTAAAAAATATGGTCAGAGACAACAGAAGTAGGGAACGTGGAGCAAGAGAATGATAGAAAGTATAGACATTACATTATTAATAGCAATCATTCCCAAAACAGTGCTTGACATTAATAAGTTAATTAACTTTCAGGATGATAAATATGATAAATATTTGTAATCATATTAAAGTTGTGCTATCAATGTTAGAATATTTGTGCAACATAAAGAATTACTTTGTGTGAACATTGTAGTCATTGTTTCCAGTTTCTGTCCTGAATTGTCCTAAATTTCAGTGTTGTATCTAAATAACATGCATCTATCAACATGTAGTTCAGGTCAACCCTTAATGAGTTCAGCTTGTAGCCCATAAAACTTCAAGCCTTAATACATTTGCTGACCTTTTAAAGGGCTATAAGGTCCTTTACTTCTTTTGCTGCAACAGATTAACGTGGTTATTATTTGGAAACTATTAGTATCAGCACTTATTTAAATATGTTTCCAGCACTTTATCTGGGTTTTCATGTTCTAATTATAACATACATAAGCTGATACATAATGACAGTGAAATTCTATGAATATTTTTTCAAAGCTAGGCCCTGTTTTGAGCCCTTGAGTCATTTTGAAAACTGTCCTATTTAGCTTCTATATGTCAAAAATAGGGTACATAGGCAGTTGGAACTGATCAGAATTCATTGGCATATGCTTTCATAATTGCTACCCAAATAATCTGGATTTTAAAAATGAGAACATTTTAATTTTCTTATGTATCTTATGGTGCAAATATAATTGGCTTTGTTCATTTATTTGATTTTGCTATATTGCACTATTTTAAACCCATATATTTCACATTCTGACTTCTTAATATGAACTTGTATAAACCTACTTAATCTGCTTCTATTTCATTATTTTCATACATTGGAGGTAGGGGTGGATAAAAAGCAGAAAGAGATTTTTTTTTTTAATGGACAAGACCTGTGACCTAAGTTTTACTGAGATTTCTCCCTAATATATTAGGAACTTCGTTGTTCTTTCCTCCTTCTGCCCCTGATTAGAGGGACACCAAAAAAAAAAAAAAAAATGAAGTTGTTTCTTCATGACATTTGATGAAATTTCTTATGTCTGAATATTTGATCTGACTGCGTTTAGAAACAAGTTTCTGCATTTAGAGCTGCATATGGCTAGGGAAACAGTTGAAATGTGAGTTGCGTGACCTGCATTAGCCAGTGTTTGTCAGGGTCACATTTAAAAAATAGCACCCGAAAGCAGACAGCATCTTTGTAGCTATGAACACAAAGCCCTATCGTTTCATGAAGCTGTTTTTTTTTAAAAGTTAAATTAGATATATCTTTCCTCTGTGACATGGAAACTGTTTCAACACGATTATATTGGCAAGTGTATCAGTACACTGTTTTCCAAGGGTAAAGTAGTTTTTACTTCCTTATCCTACTGCAGTTGTTTATTAAATTTATACCCTGCCTTTTTTCCATGACATGGAAGTTGATGCAGACGGAGTTCTGGAGCATGCTTCCACCCAGGCACTAATCAGACCCAGACCTGCATGGTTGCTGTGTTTATTATGGGTCTCTTAATATTACATGCTGTGTTTACAATGTTCATCAGAGCAGCCAGTGGGACCTAAACTAATGACAACCCCTATTACAAATGCACAGTAATGTTTTAACATGGGAGGGACTCATGTGACTTATATCCTGGTAACATACCAAAACCAAATTAATCATTTTAAGCCTCATTAAGTCCCCTTCATTCTATGTGGTTTGAAGGATTTGGCATTATTTAATATAGTTAAACCAGCCTATGTTCATTCAACATTGGCATGTATTCAAGATTTTGTCCTTTCAATAGAAAGCTAAAAAGGCAATACAAAGTGATGTATCTATCCTTTAAAGAGGGAAATAGAGGCAGTTATAACATATGCCATTAAACAGTACAGAGTAGCTTGGTATTCAGCTGAACCTACTGTCTGCTTTGCCTCAGAACCTCTTCACTTCTGTAATACTTTATAAAGATGGAGAAGCCCCCAAACCATTCTCAAGCTCTCGGATCAGCTCCAGTTCATTGAGCTGTTAGAAGGGCTTGTCAACAGAACATTTACCTATTATCCATTGTCATGAGATGACACTGGAGAGAAAGCTACATGTAGCACCCTCATTCAGATGCTTACCTGAGCAAATTATATTCTTTGATGGAAAAATAAGCATACTTCCTCTTAATTAGCTCATTCTGAACATTAGGAAGGCCAAATAAGTGGTCTGTCACCTCTTTAGTGAAAGAACTGTATGGTTCAGACAACTTTGCACACAGTCATATATGAGGTCATTCCATATATATTAAATGTGGTGATAGAATGCATGAATGCTGCTCCTTAACAACTACAATTGGATCTGATGTAAGTGAGCTCCTCAAATTAGGAGCTACAAGAGATGGCACCATTTGTCTCATTCTGTGTTGTCTCATTCCCAGTGTTCCCAGCCACTGGGAATGAGAAGCCAATACATGAATCCTCAGTATTACTGTGATCCTTACTAAAGAAGCTTTTGCAGTTCCACATGATTGATATTATATATAAATTAGGTAAACGCCATTAGTCCCCCTCCTTTTTTTAAAGTTGGATTTCATTAAATTATTCCAGTTTTTCAAAGTTCCTTCAAATTTTGATGTAACTGAATTATAACCTCTCCCCATGTTAAATCCTACATCTTACAGAAGCAAGTCCTCAGTTTAGACCAGGAACCTATGCTGATTTTGCCTTCTTGATAAGGTAGTATTTTTCTAAGCAACACATAAGATGTGCAAGAGGAACTTTAAACAAGCTTTGGAGCACAATAAACAAAGTTTATTTAAACCTTAAGCAGATGCTATTGGGAAATTACAAACAAGTCATGAAGGCATCTCTTATTGTTGTTTCCTATATTGGAGGTGTACACAGACATCAAAACTAATACCCCCCCCTTCCCTATCACATAAACTAGTAACCATGACTGAGAGTATGGAAATAAAATCTGCAAATTGTGTCATTGGTTATGTGAATTTCTGTCAATACTTTTCTCTGGATCACTCAAAATTCTAAAGAAAAAGTAAGCAAATTTCTTTCTACCCACTATGTCCAGTGTATGCTCTTATGCTAGGTGCCATTGAGTCAGGCTCATTGCCTATTGACTTCATGGGCAAATGCTTATTGCTCTAGTCTCTAGCAATAACCCATAGCTATTGGGTTTCAAGAATATTCCAGAAATTTCTTTGACCTGGTTAATTCACGTTCTCTATTGTCTTTTCTTTCTTCCTTCAACCTTCACACACATAATCATAATTTTGGAACCAATACTTTCACAAGATTTTAATTTTTTAGATTCTTTTAATTAAAAACAAATAAATAAATGGAAAGCTGAAACAGTGCAAAGATTCAGATGCCCACAAAATTTTTATTCCCAAGTTTGACTATGAAATATTTATTTTATAACATTTTATAATGTTATAAGGCTACATCTGGGCACATATAAATGAAGCCCAGGGGTAGTCTTATAAAATAAATATTGTGGATGGCTACATAATTTTGCTTAACTTGAAAATGTGACCATCTGCCAGAAATTTAAAAAGTAACCTGAAAAAATTCTGGAAATAATCTAAAATAGCCCTTTTGTCTAGGGCATTAAATTGGTTGAAGGGAAGCAACCACACACCAGTTTGACTTCTAATAATTGCACATTTTTTGACTAGCCATGTCCATTATGGCAGCCATTTCTGGAATGTGCAAGTCTCACCTGTCAGCTCTCATCATTTGTCAGAGCTACCATTTTTGCAATGGGAGAAAAAGACTACTCCTTGCTTTGGAGGGAAACTGCTTCAGCCTCTTCACAGTTCCAAATGTGCCTTTTCAAATACAACAACCATAACTGTAGGTAGTGTTTGCACTAGATTGGTACAAGACTGTATACAGAAACAGATACTATTTTCTTCTCTTTCAGATTTCTCCATACTGGGTTAATATTTTCACTGATTTACCATGCTGTCAAATTTTTTCTCCAGACATATCAGTTAATATGCAGATAAAAATACTGTTTTTGTGCTAGTAGGCTAGTAGTCACTTTGGAATTCTGACTTTGAACTCCATCTGTTATAACGTTGTACAGGGGTAAATCTTTTTTGCAGCTGCTTTGTACTTCATCAATCTGAATTACTCTCAGCAAACTCACAACTCATCCCAATTCCAGATAACTTATGAACAAGCTAAGAAAGCACTTGTTCCAATTTGGGGGGAACCAAACTTCTGATCTGACTCAATTATGTGAATTTTATTCCAACTTCCTGTTTCTTGTCTGCAGTCAGTTATCAATCAAATATTTTATGATTACTGAGCTTAGTGAGGCACCTTTTTCAAGAGCTTTTTTAAGAGTCCAAGAATTAAATAGCTATTGGCTTTCTTTTACTTGCTGACACCTAAAAGTTGAGTGAGACAGGACTTACCTTTGCAGACTGCATATCAGTTCAGCACCTCAGTAACACTTCTAAATGCTTGTTATTGTTTTCAATAATCCTTTCCACGATTGATTCAGAACAGACAACAGGTTAAATTGTTTGCAATTTCCTGAATGCTCTACAGCCTTTCTAAAGGTGTTTAACTGTCTACTTTCCACTGTCCTGGTACGGAAATTAATCTTAGCAACAAATTTTTCTTCAAAGATCAAATTCACATTTGACCTGTTTAAGAACTTTCAGGGAAATGTTGTGCGGATCTACTCATTTGTTTATTTTTAGTCTTGTTTTTATTTGGTTTAATCCTTCAGGCACCTTATCTGAAACAGCCGCAACAGAATCTGCCTTATACCAGATCAAACTATTTGGCCATCTACTCAGTTCTTATTCTAACCTGCAGTGGTTCCGTTAATTTTAATTTTCTGGAGATGCCAGAAACCGAGATTCAAACTATACTACTGAGCAAAGTAGTATAGTTTTGAAATCAGGTCAGGCACAGGTATCTGTCCGGTATGTAATTGCAGTTAGGTCAACCATCTCTTTCAAATCCCAGGGAATCGTGCCAAATACAAAATTAATTTGAACTATAAAATTTTGTGATTTAGATTTTTAAAAGGGAAGAATGCTCAATTTGGACAATGTGCACCACAATAATGTTAGTCCATATAGCTTTGAAAAGTGAAGAAACAGCTTTTTTTAGGCAAGGAGTTTGACGGTACAAAAGGTCACTTAGTGTTCTACAGATTTTGTAATTTATATAGGGGATGAATTTCAAATAAACCAGCACTGGTTTCTATTATGTTCCTTATAATACAGGTAGTCCTCACTTAACAACCACAATAGGGACCAGAAAATTGGTCGTTAAGTGGAGTGGTCATTAAGTGAGTGAGCACATGACCAGACCTGATTTTACGACCATTTTTACGATGGCCGTTAAGTGAATCATTGCGGTAGTTCAGCGAATCATGTGGTCATTAAGTGGATCCAGCTTCTCTAATGGACTTTTTTGCTGTAATTCGCTTAACAACTTTTATTAAAAGGTTGCAAACTGTGATCACGTGACTGCGGGGGTGGTGTGTACACAACAGTTTGTGACAGTTGTAACTGCCAGTACAGGTTGTAAAGCTCTTTTTCTGAGGCCGTCATAACTTTGAACCTGGTCTTTAAGCAAGGACTACCTGTATGTATTTTGAGAAGGACAACATGAAAGTGTATATTCTGAGCTGTCCGCTATATAAAAAATGAAGAGATTTCAAGGATGTATGGGATGAGGTATACACAAAAGTGTTTCAGAAGGTCTTATAGTCCAAACCACATACAAAGCCCCACTTCTGCTGCAGAGTTTAAAATATTATCTCCTCTTCCAAACTCATTATTGGCTCTTGGATGTTTCCTTGGAATTTGGATTGCCCAACATAAAGAAGTATACAATTTAATGACAATGAGATATAGATTAATGCAGAAATACATACTTCATGAGCCTTTTCAACAACAGGATAAAGACCAGTACGTCTCTTTCAACTCCCCATACCAATAGATACACTGAATAACTAATTGAAGTACAGAATACTATTCAAATGCCCTATACTTCCATAGAATGAACAGTGACACCAATCTGATTCATATTAAATAAATGCATTATATCAGTGAAACAAGTTCTCAAATCTTCAGTATATTTTCATTCAGAATTTAACACATTTTCAGAAACAATTTTCCCCAAATTCATTTAAATTATTAAAAATGGAAAATGATATTTCTGTTTTATACAAGACAGTAAACCATACCCTACATGCATAGAAAATAAAATCCTATGCTATAATGAAGTACCCACAGCCTCTAGAAGCTGCTCAGAGTCTTCAGAAATGAATAAAATAAAAGCTGCTTATAGTATTGGGTGACCCTTGAAAGCAAGGTATGAAGTGGTGCTATAGTATGAGAATGACAAGAAAAAAAAGCTAAAATTGCCCAACTCATCCTCTTCTTTGAAATGGAGAGCTTGTGCTGGCTTTTGGTTCTTTTGTGGTACTAATAAAAGGAGCCTTTCTGTTTGCAGAAAAGTACCCTGGATACAAAATATACAGACTATCTAATTTCTTCTTTAGTAAGGATGTTTTCTCATATAATAAAATTATTATCAAGGAAATGTTTCTGCCTATACAAAGAACATATATAAAGAAAAAATAATCAAAAGGGTCACCTTATATAGCGTTTTTGGTCATGTAATGTTGATGGTGTCTCAAGCAATTTATCCAGAAGTAGTTTCCTTAATGCTTCAACTCGTGTTTCAACTTCAGCATAATCTATGATATATAAAAGACAACACCATAATTAACCCTAGAATAAAATGCCATGAATTACCTAAGTGTAAAATTAATTTTATAACCTTTATAATTCAAATGAACAAACTATAAGAAATTACTCCAGTATCACTGTTCTATCATTGTCTTGCATTTGAACTTGTTGGTTCTCAAGTCTTCTTAAATTTCTCCAATCTTTTTAGTTAGAAACTTTTAATTTATATTATAATTCAATTCATTTCACTGTTCATGTGACTATTAATTTATAGATCTGGAAATACACACTTTCAATATACCAAGAGCCTTTTTTCTGTATTGAGACTGACTACCTAAGATTTCAGTTTTAACTTTATCCCAGGCAAACTTGCATTAAACTATTTTATAAAACTGCAAACTGCAACTTTTGAACTTCATTTTAAAATAAATATGTCTGCAAAGTCAATTTATTTTATGTAACATAACCTGAAAATTACCAACTTCAAGTCTTGTTATGTACAGTATAAAATAATATATATTTCTGAGGCAGAAACACTGCCAGACACAGTTTAAGGAAGTATTTCAAATGCTGCATAAGCTATATAAGCAAAAGATAAAACTACTCAGCAAACATAGGAATTCTAAGTTTGTTCTCACATTAATCCTCCCTACTAAAACTAAATTCAAGTTTAACAAAATCCCAAACTCACATTTTTTGAAGACTTGAACCTCTGTCTTCCCAAATAATGACTTTGCTTTTTCATAGTCATTAATGACTACATCATAATCTCCCTTAAAAACACAAAAACAAGTTTTAAGAAGTATGCTTGAAATTTGGGGCAAAACAATTTAACTTGCATCTTATAATATTAATACCTTTTGAATGTTTCTTTCAATATTTAATGGAAGATTGAAAAGAAATTTGAAGCGCTGTAGAACATTTAAGGCATTTCTTGTTGAGTCAGCCTTGTCTTTGCGGCCCAAAACTTCCTGGAACAATGTATCTGCGGTATTACTTGCTCCTTTTAAGAAAAGGGGACAAACAAGGAGATAAACTGTATCATGCAGCTCTTGCTATATTTAATCAAAAAGTTGTCATGCTTTTTATACAGATTAAATCTAAATCAACAATAATAACTGTTTATATTAGAAATGCGTTTGGCTTATAAATGTTCTGAAATAATATTTACTATTGATTGCTTAGATTTTTAGTGTGGCAGAAACCAAAGTGCATTTAAAACAACTTTCATTCCTGCAACAAATGCTTGAAATTCATTGCGTAACTTTAAAGTTTCCTTTGGGTACAGAACTGAATTCTATGCTTCCAGCAATGCCTTGTACACAATTTGATCATTACTAATGTATTCCTTTCATGACAGAACACAATGAAAAAAGCGTGAATATAATTTTACTGATATGAACACCATAACTTAGTTCTAACTAACTCATTCAGTGAGTTCTGAGTAGGGGAGAGGCAAGGTGGCAAAAAACAAAATATTTGGACTTTTGAGGAAAATATGTCTGAAAGGGATTCTTTATTCCTTTTCACTGAAGAATTCCATTTAGGACATTTGTTAAAATGACAAAGTAAAACCATTAGTCACATCACAAATTCTGACACTATTCTGTATCAAATTCCATGATTTTGAGCAATGTTATCTGATTTCTATAGATCAAGAAGTAGGAACATGAGAATGAATCTAAAAGACTGAGAAATTCTACACTAAGCTATACAAATAATAAAATATTCAAATATTTACTTGTTAAGTATTCAGTCTTTATAATTTGATGTAGAATGCTAAAGCATGTTTCAGAGTTACCCCTGCCAAAAAAAGTCCTTGCCTTTTCTCCTCATAATAAAGATGTGTCAAATATGTTAATTTTTCCTCAACTTGTAACTTATCTTTAATTTACCAGAAAAAAAGTGAATGTTTCTATTCCTTTTGATGGCTGCCTGTAAAACTTTCTACATTATCTGGTCTAGTGACTATAATTTAAGCAAAGATGAAAAAATTACATCAGTCTCACTGGGTGGCTTGCATGCCATTTTCTCTCGTCAACACTGTGGGTGGCCTGCTCATGTTAAAAGTAGCCTTTGTAAAATAATTGTTATATCTAAATAGCGCTTAAACACTGTTGATGTTTCAAGACCCTAATGCAAGAAACTTTGTTTTGTCAGGAGAATTGGTCCTACTACATTTTATTTGGTTGGGAGGGGGAGACACAATTACCTGATATCTAACTTGATATTGCTAAACCATTTCATTCTGAATGTCTTTTATGATTTAAAAAGATTAGCAAATATGAATAAAGTAAAATAACACTCCAATTATGAAATGGTGAATAAACTGATGTGGTCAAGAAATGCTTTTAGAAAGTATTTAATAAAACACAGTAGTTACATGGCATTATTTGTCTACTGTTTCAAATGCTTTCAAATTTGAGATATTTTAGTTATTTAATTTTTTTAAAATGTTAAACCATGAATAATCACACTCAAGAACCTTCAAGAGCATTAGGATAATTTAAAAAACATTTTTTCAACTGTTCCAAAGATAAATGCTATCTAGAACTTGCTTTTAAAAAGAACATCTGCAAAAATCTTCCAATAAGAGCATAAAGCATCCATTTCAGTAAAAGGACCAGGAATTAGGAAATAAATATTGTTATATCAGTTTTACTCAAAAGGAAAATGATATTCACGAAGAAAAATTAGTCAATAAAAATTCACTTTTCTAAGGCATTCCCAGGATGTCTAACAAAAGTCTACTTTGCAAAGTTTAATACTGTTCCTTTCAGATAAAATAATAGCTTCTTCCAATATCTATTAACAGTTGTTTTTTTTAAAATTCTTTCAAAAGGACTGGTATAATACCAGTTCAGTTAATTTTATACAAGCAATTTCATCTCATCTTTACAGAATCCTCAGAATTATTACTTTCATTCTTCTATAAAAATTAATAAACTGTATATTACTGTTATTGTTATTATTAAAAAGTATGTTCCTTTCCTACCCAGGTACCTAAATACTGAGAGAAATGAGTTAGGAATGAAATAGATATATATGTGTGTGTGTGCGTATGTGTGTGTATGTATATATGTATGTGTGTAGTCACACACACACACATGTATACACATACACACATATATATACACACAGAAAGACACAAATGCACACACACACATTTTATATGGCTGAGACAAAGTAATTCTATTTACAGGCTGTAAATAATATATAAACTGACACAAAAAGTAGGGTCAGGGAGAAAGAAAATACTTCCATCTCTCTCTCTCTTTTTGTTTCACAGAATATGCTCATATTCTAAAAGAATAAGCCTATTAACAGGATGCAATTCTGAGCTTGCTGATAATGCTTTAAGGGAAAGAGTCCTCATATTAGGATAGAAACAAAACAAAGAAAAATAGCTTCTCTAGGATTTTCTCTCCAAAGAACTTTAACAAAATAATCTGAATATGCACACAAAATGCATTTTTTTCCACTGAAACCCCTGTCTGTCTCTCGATTCGATATATAAAAGCTCTTGAAAGAAAACAAATGCAGTTCCTTCACATTCTGTTTCTTTTAGATGCATTCATCTCTCTTGAATAAAATGGCAAAGTGAAATCCAACATTATATGCAGCGGCTACTTTAGTTAGAAGTTACTTTAATTCAATGGCTTAATTCTAGATGGAAATTCTATCCATGTATTGAATTATACTTCTCTATAGTGTTAACCTGATTTGCTAAGAAAGACCAAGTCAATCTAAGAAGCGTGGAAAATAAGCTTCTTTTCCAGATAACTTTTCTTCCTTGCCAGGAACTGAAAGAAATGCGTCACAGAGGCAAAAGGGATTTAGGGCATGCCCCCTGCTGAAAGAAGGGGGCAAGCAGGGGTTTGTGCCAATTCACTCATTCACCCTGCATCCTTTTGGGACTTCTCATGTTCCTTAGAGGATCCTCCAGTCCTTCAGCACAATATTTCATGACACAGAGGGATATAGAGAAAAGGAACAAGAATGAAGATTAGATCCAAAACAATTTCCTTCCACATGAGCACAACTCTGCTAATTTCTGCTCTAGATCCATTTCATTAGCTTGGAACCCAAGATACTATTATGAACAGTATTTTTATCCACTAGTACTTTTTATTCATTTTTTCCCTGAATTCAGCCATTCCATTAACTGGGCCCAAAGCATCAGTGTTAAAGGAAACATGGAATTATTAAAGGTACAGGGAAAATTAACAAACTGCTTTCCTTTCTGTGTGTGTGATGCTCCCTTTATTTAATCTGAACAAAAAGTTAGTATATTCAAAGTTATGCAAAGAAATACAGTGAATTACAGAAAACTGGTATATTCTCTGGTATATCTAATACTCATTGCCATTTTCCTGTATTATTTTTGGATGTGCCATTTTATAGTGCAAAAATATGAACTTATTTGATTAACTCTCAAATTTGAAAAAAAAATACTAATCTGACAACATGCTTGAAATTCTCCTTTTCTATCTTAAATATACATCTGCAAAATGCCATTCTAAAAATATAAATTTCTTTTTTTTCATTTATGAGGAGTTGCTTCATTATTTTTTTAAAAATACTGTATGAAACTCCTAAATACTATATAAGGATAACTGACTTAAATGCATTAAACAACCAGTCAGACATAAAAACATCTCAAAACTACAAAAAAGCTGCAAAAATTAAAGGGTCTGAAACTTGAAATTCAATATGGATAAGACTAAAAACATAAAAAGGTTGATGACTTTTAATTCATCTTCTAGACTAAGTGGCTCCCATTTGCCCTAAAGTATAAATTCACACTTGATCATATCTTACTCGATACTTAACTTTTTCCTATTGAAATTATACTTTAAAAAATAGTCTGTAGGTGCAAGTCACCATTTATTTAAATGCATTTCCTCAGTCTAAATGATGGGGTTTAAACTGACAGACCTACATTACCCCTTTGTTATTACAGGCTTACAAAATACCACAGGCCATCAGAAATTCTTTTGCCTCTTTTTTATTTCAAGCATCAGCCTCTGCAATAGTGTCAGAATTCAACTAGTAAATTATCAGGTTCCATATAGACTTAAGATTCAGAAACAAATACTGGGAAATTTCCATTTTTATAACTTTAAAATAAAAGAAGTAGCCTTGAAGTGTATAAATAGATGTACAAAACTTACTGTTGAGAACGTTCTCTAGTTTTTGCGTCATGGATCCTTCTACTTTTTCTGTTCCATCCGCTTCTAGTTTTTGATGGATAGCTGAAATAAAGCAACTTGTTAAATTTCAACTATTTTAATGGATGAAGCTACATGAATGAACTATAGTCATAGATTTAAACAGCACATGTTTGTTACAAGATAATTTGTGATCTAGTGACACAGGCATTGTGATAAGAGCCAGATACTCCAGACTTCTAAACTTCACTACGTTGCTAAGCTTATGCTATGATTTTTGGCAGTAAAGTTAATCATCTGGGCATGGGTATGTTCTCTTATTTAGTCTTCTAATTACCATGACAGTTCTGCTATATATTTCATTTTCTCGTATGGAGCTTAAAGTAGCTCTAGTTTTACACTGGCTAAAAGCTCTGGTTGGAAGTTAGTTGACTTTGAAGAAGCAAATGCCTTTTATGCTAGATTATGCAGGTAAAGCCATGTTAACCTATGTCTAATCTGAAAGGGTCAGAAATACCAGTATGGCATTTTGGGATATGACAAATCAAATACAATTGTTATTTCACTATTGTATAATTCCCCTTCCATTCTTTTTCCAACAACTGTCTGCACGAACAGTAGTTGGGAACATTGCGTTAACTCTAGCATTTTTCCACTCCTTAGGTGCTTTTATTTATTTGGGGTATCCTATAATAAATTTTCAAAGGTAACTTCTAGGAATTGTGAACCATGTGGTGGTGGGGATTAGGAAGTGTTGGAAGCACTCCACTGAACCTGCTGCTTGAAACATCAAGGTGCCATATCCTCTTAAAGGCTTGGATGCTCTGTGGACCTTCCTACATTATCTCAGGGTACATGTACAAGCAACAATAATCCTGCAAGGATTGCACAACCCCTGTAATTTCCAAAAGAAAATAATTCCAACTTCTATTATTTGCTTCCTTTCTCATCTGGTTCCTACTAAACATATTTTCCTTGGCTACTCTGTAGTACAGTTTAGGGCCAAGAATCTTTGAAGTAATATGAAGAATGGAATTCTGTATATGGATTTCCATATATAACCATGTCCTTTGAGATGGATACTGAAAATAACAGTATAATAATCTGTTTTAGTCAATGAGTGAGAAATACTTCTTGTTTAGTCACTGGGAGTATTGTTCTCAATTACAATGCAGTCAGAGAATATTCACTGATGTCATTCCCACCAAAGATAGGCAAAAGTCTTCATTAATTTCTATAACAGAGAGATGGGAACTCTGTCTTCCAGGTCTAATCTTTGAACCCAATTTGCCAAAGAAAACTAGGAATGAAAAAAATATTATCTCACACAAAAATATGTCAAGAAAAAATTACTTTTTCTTGCACTGCATCTCATATCACATATCTGAAGTATTTTCTATTTTAAAACTACTATATTAATTTAGAATGTAAAATATCTTCAAGAACATTGTTTTAAATCTGAAATGGAAAATGAGCTGCTGCAAACTAAAAAATCACTCTGTTAATGAGATAGCAATCCAAGGCTTGATATGTATTTTGCTGCAGAAATTACCCTTTTAGTAATGTTCAGTTATGTTGTAAAGTTAGCATCATCTAACAGCAACATCTTTACAATTATCTTTACAAATACAAAGAATTGTATACAAAATTTTAAGCAAAGATGGAAACCCAACCATAAACACTCTCTTATATTTTGAAAAATCTTTGAATCTAAGATTCTTAAATTTTAGATATTTTAGCTGCAATTATTTAAATTAGTCTTATGCTTTTGCCCATTTATTCATTGGCTGAAACTAGAAATGTATTCCGGTGAAATGCCAAATGGATATTAGAAAGAAGGCACAGATCACATCATTTGCAGAGCACTCTTAACAAGCAAAGAAAATGCAATGTAATGAAAAGCAAAAGATTTTTTTGCAAAATTATGTATAAATGATAGTAGGAATATCTAATAAAAACAATAGAACATATGAAGAGGAAATACTTAAAAGTATAAACTCTCCTTTGTGAAATGTAGTCCTCACCTAACGGGGGAAAGATTAACTTCATATTTCAGTATGTAACATATTAAAGTACCAGTTCACTTTCAGAATTCTTATCTAACTGTATTACATCTCCCTTCTTATCTCTATGCATTGCAAGATATAAAACTAGGAAAAGTTATGCTGTTCTTGTATCTTTAAGATTGAATACTAAAATAAATCAATGCAAAGATCTTTTGCTTAGGCTTTTACTTTAGAAAAGTGATATAAACTATGATGACATTTAGTCAAATATTTAGGATTATTTATGTATTTAATCTAAGAAAAACACATCTTTTATAATAATTCATACTTCAATATTACAGAGAACTCAATCACCACAGTAGAATGATGTGATCAGGTACAGAAAATAATTTGCTGATCCCTTCTAATGGTAAATCACAGATACTTTATGAAACACCTTACAGATCTTTTTTTTAATTGATGTACAGTTTATCAGACATTTTCACTGCCATTAGTGGCTTAGGTCACTTAAACCCTTAAGATTCCTTCAGTCTATTAGATTTCTGAGATTCCTTTTGTAGTTCTGACACTTACCTGACAAGGCATCTTGTGCTTCAAAAAAAGTGCTGAGACCTCCTTTGACATACTGTAGATTTCCCTCATTTTTCTTGTTGGCTTGTTTCCTTAGATTTATTACTGCCATTTTAAACTGATCAAAACTAAAACCAAAAGAGGAAAAGACAGATGGTATTCAGACAATAAATATGAAATGATATTTTACATTTATCTTGATAAAATAAATATCAAGCCAAATAGTTTTATACTTGGAGAAAAACTAGGATGACCTGCTATAATCTCCCAATCACCTGGAGGCAAGTTAATCCTAGTATGTGCTTTCTACTCAAACTGAAAGAGTACCTCAATGTTTGCTAACTCATGAAAATATGGTTATGCAACTCCACCTTCAGGAAGATAAAACATAGATTGAAAAAATTAAACAAAGATAGAAAAAGCAGGATATTGGTGGTCTCCATGCCAACAAAAAGTTTTCTGTGCTGTCTGCTATTTGAGAATGAAACAAGAGTTATTGTATTGATCATTAATATGTTTTTACTGTATGTGTGGAACAGCAAGTGTGAGACTGTGTGTGTGTGAGAGAGAGTGAGACTGTGTGTGTGTGTGTGTGTGAGAGAGAGAGAGAGAGAGAGAGAAATGGAGAATCCCCCTCTCTTAAAAGAGGAAGAAAGATGACAAACAGGCAAATTAACAAAATCACCTACAGCTGCACAATATAGCAGACTGAAATGTCATTCATACAAATCTGTCATCTCCTTGTTGCTGTTACTGGTTTAAAACAATAATTGGATCTTTGCCTTTTAAATTTTCACTTTTCTATCCTTGTACTTTTGTTTATTCTTGTCATAATGACAAATGTATTTAGTTCAGCAAACATGCCAAGAGAAGGGATATTCAATTTAAATGAGTAAATATATAACAATGAACTCCAACTATGAATTATGGCTACTGTCTAGATGACTGAATTCCATGAGAGCAAAAAAGCTTTTTGTTTCAAATATGGGAAGCTATGGAATAATGGATGTTACAATGGAATTGTGAAATAGGAAACACAATTTTTCATCTAAACAAGCAGTAAAACGTTGGAGAGCTATTAAAAATATGCTAAAATCAAGGCATTGCCTGTTGTAAAAATAAGTCACTATTTCTAATAACCTGCATTTTTTATTTTGTGTCTTATAATCAATCCACACGGAAAAACAATTATGAGCAGAGGCATGAATCCAGATTAAGTTAGAGGAATTTAGTTTCCACTTAAAGTAATGCGACCAAGTTCATCCAGATCTTAAGTCAGTCCCACCAGTTTCAGTGGGACTGGCTTGCAGCCACATTACTCACAATTTTTTGCCAATATTATTGACACTCCTTAAACACGAAAAAAAATATTAATACAAAATGTACACTAACCTTGCTGTTGAATGGTTCTCTATTAAATACCAAGCAGCAGAAAAGTTTTCACTCGTAAAATCAGCACTCTTTCCAGGAAACAGTGTTTCCAATTCTTTCTGTGGAATATTTCCTCTAGACAAATCAATAAGAAACAAAGACTAAATGATGGACCTGGAAATGAGTCATCTTATAGACAGAGGCACTCACAAAAAAAATTATCCTTAGGATTAAAATATCAAACATCAAGACTGCATTCTCATACACAGATCACATATATACAAATATCACTGGATTGAACTGCACTTTACATGGGATTGGAAAAACTGACCTGATTGTGGGGGAATTAGGTTTTTCTAAAGGAGCATAATGCTTGGTATACATCTCTGTAAATTTAAGGCACCCATTTCACTTTTAAATGTGCAAAAAAAAAAAAAAAGTCCCACTTGGAGAGGTTTTGGGGCTGTGAATAAAAGGGCTGGCCCAACGTGAGGCCCATGGATTGGCCATTCATGTCATAAATTAACAAAGTAATGAGTACTTTTATATCTATTTTAGAGTGCTAAAATAAAATAAAATAAAAAGTCCTTGGCCTGGTACCACATCCAAAAAGGATTTTTTTGTGGTTATGGAGAAATGACTCTGTGTGTTTATGCAGGAGAAGGTAGACCTTTAGATATAGTTTAATGGTTAAAATGAACATAGGTAGTGGGTGAATTTATTTAAGAAGTGGCAATATGTACCCTGTCTAATAAATATCAGTCAACAATTTAGCAGGTGTGTTTTGGACCAAATGAAAATTTTCAGTATATTGAAAAGCAGCCCCATGTATAAAGTGCGGCTGTAATCCAAACCATATGTCATTCAGAAAGCTTCACAGCTCCTTGTTCCATATGCAATTTAACCAAATGGTTTTCCATGACAAAAAAAACTGTTTATCTATATTACTGAACCCTTACTTTACTTATATATCTATTTTTAACTCTAGATTGCTTGTTTAGAAAATTCAGCAACAATCTATACACGCAACAGTTACTTCCTAACTATGACAGTGATATATATCATTAGAAAGGCTGCACTATAATACATGATGTATTTGGGTTAAGAAAAAAAAAGTGTACTGAATAATAAATGTATGATTCTCTTTGCATCCTGTTTTTATACATGTTTCCTAAAATATTGTTGAGGAATGGAAAGTATTCTAGTCACCTGCTCTTCATAGGCTTTGCCTTTAAATGTTATCAATGTGGAGTGATAAAAAAATCCTGTGGAAGAGATCACTGTACTCTAAAGGAACTACATGACTTTGTTTTACAGTTTATGTGTGTGTGTGTGTGTGTGTATTCCTCTTTCATTAAAAAATATGAATGGCTTTCTACATTGTGAAAGAGAATGCAGTAAAGAAGTGAGACATTGCTGGACTATAGCTCTCATAATCTTTGGTTATGAAATATGAATTTAATTTCTCTCTTATATTCCACTGCATTATAGCAATGGAAAAATGGAAGGGAGAACTTGTTTTAGAACAACTTTATTTCCCACTGACTTTTAAATATCTACATTGATAATTTAGTCATCTTATTTAGATCAAGTTATATTTGTTTGTCATTTTTTGGAATATAGACATAAAGGATTAGGTGCAATACATGCATTTCTGATCTATATCCCTTCAAACTGGGAATAAAGCATAGGGGTTTGAGGGGAAAATGAAAATCTTACTGAATTAAAACCCTGAAACACTAGATCCAGGATGCATACTAAAAGGAGGCATGGCAAGCATCATAGTAAATATTAATCCTTCCAGGTAGTCCAGACAAGAAGCACAACTATGAGTACAAACTCTATCTTTAGTGTACGGTTATATTAACAGACTCTTGCAAGACTGAAAGTATTTCTCGCCTCCTCCTTTTACTCTCCAGAAAACTAGGGAGGGTCCCTTCTGAAACGCTTCCCACGCCCCCTCCCTGAGATATCTTTTACATGATGGTAGTCCAGTCTGCGCCTCTTCTTTCTGTCTCCCAAGGTCATTCCCATATACCATTACAGTAAATGTAACTTTGTTACTGCTTTACAGATCAGGTGAACCAAACTTGTAAGAGATGCTCCAGATAATATGGAGGTGAGTATCAGAAAAGCAAATGAATATAGCTCAGAACCTATTTACAAGAAAAATAAGAAGAAACAACCTGGGTGGAAGTAACGTTTGAGCTACTGTAAGAAATAAGCCTTTGGAAAAAAACGCAGAAGGTGCACAGCCAACTCCTTTCCTCTTATCAAGGTCATGGGCAGCTCATTCTAGTGGGCAAGAAATTTGATCTCAATGGAATGTGCATGTGGCACATTGTCCTTAACACACAATTTCCAGCAAGAGTGGAAGAACACAAGAACAGAGGCAATCCTCCTTCTCCAGTAAGTGACAGTTCTACACATGCGTGCTTAATATTTAGGATATACCTCTCCCATGTGGTTCTCAAGATAACATTTACATCCTCCTAATTATTGGAACAAGATCAATGCTTCTGCTGATTGAGAAGTATGAAACATACCCACAATCTGAAGACAGAAATATTCAATTTTATTCCATTATTTTACTCAACACAAATAATGAAGGTGATAGAACATTACTGATAAAACAATTATGGAACAGTGAACTGAATAATGCATGTGAAAAATAGATGTTTGGGAAATATGCAGGAGTGATTTTATTTTTCACGAACAAGATACATATGCTAAGAATTCTACATAATGTTGCCTCCAGCAGTTAGAAAATTATTCAAAAAATACTTTAAAAGCAATAATGTTTGGTTTAAAAGTTTTAAAAAACTGTGCTAAAATACAAAACATGAAATCAAATTCCTCTTAGAGGCAGTAAAAATAAACCTTTCAGATATGCAAACTATACTGCTGCAATCCAAAGATTGAATCTATGCCAAACAGTACTGTACCTTCAGTGTGAGCTATAGAATGTGAAATAAATTTAAGCTCATGGTTCATCTCATTACAGATAACCTAAGTTAAACAACAAGAAAAATGGAAGTACCCTAAAATTATATTTTAAAAACTTTATTCTAATGGTATATAAGGAGGATAATTGTTTTGAGTGATGTTTCTTAGGCATTCAAGAAAATAAAAGAGATAAAAAAATTAGTCACTTAAGGAAATATTTCAAAGCCATGATTCTATACACTTATTTGCAAATAAGAGCCATTAAACTCAACAGGACTTATTCCACAAACATGGAGAGGATTGAGTTATGTGTATTGTGAGCCAACTACAATCTTACCAAAAGTAATACATGTAAAAGTAATGATTAAATTCACATGTGATCACATGATGCAATTGCAAAGTTGCATTTTATACTGCTTTTGTGTTACTTCAATTTTATTCAGTTTTCATTCAGACACATAGCTGAATGAATAATAAATAATTACAGCAGCTGGTACACACAATAGACCAAGTCTGTGGTTTAATAAGATATGTGAACATGAATACAATGGGTGAATCTCAGTTATCAGAAATTGACTAAAATATCTTAACTCCCAATAAACAATATAAAAGCTGAACAATAGAACTTAGATGGCAAAATCTTAGAAACCCTACTTATTACAGCTCATAAAATTACACAGCTTTAAACAGGTTGAGGAAATATAATACTTATATAATCAGCAATGATCAGCATTAAATATCCTTTCCTTCCTGCCTTTCCTACTATTCAAATTGGCTGGAAGTTCCAGAGACTATCATTTATAGTCTAGTTATTCAGCCCAGTATTTTGAATATGTGCATAGTTCCAGAGACATCCATTTTTAAAAATGAAACATCAGTCTTAAAAGAAGCTGAATGCTGTACCCTAACCGTATGTTTGTGCACGTGGAAATTAATAACTGCATAGTCAAAAAAGAATCATGTTGAAAAGAATCAACGGAGACTATAATAAGGTAAAGATCCATAATATAACCAGAAGTATAGTCTAGTAAGTGGTTTGATAATCAAAGTACAGCCTCCATATAGATTGAATGGCAATATGAGATGGTAAACTCTACTCAACAGTGTGTTATGTTTTCATTACATCTCATTGCCAAATTAATTTTCACATACTTGCTTACTGACTCAAGCAGTATACCAAGAAAAACAGCAAGACTAGGATGTACGTCTTACTTGAGTGGTGAGAAGAACTGAAATACTGGGTGGCAAACATCAAATGGTAACCAAAAGGAAACCATGTTGACACCCCTGGAAAATGTCAAATACCATTCTGCGTCCAATTTATCATGAAAGCAAAATAAAAATATCATGGCAAGAAAAATGTAATCATTTTTTTTTTTTGCTGGCTCCACTGAAATTATATAAAGAGGTAAAGCCATATTTACAATTTTGACAAGCTGCTGCATAAAGTACATTATAAAGAACTGGTTCACACATTCATATATATTCATACAAACCATCAGATTTCTCATCACATGATGAGAACATTTTATATCAGATTGTCTGAACTGACTACAATGGAAAAACACTGTAGCAGGATTAATTATATCTGTGAAAATTTTGCTTCTTGATAGCTCATCCACATAAACAACCACTGAGTGGTTCTGCTGCCATCAAGTAATGATTTTCAACAAATCAACAAGCTATAAATAACTTGCAGCTATTATTATACAGGTTCTCTACTTAAAACATTCTAAAATAATATAAAAATAATAAAAATGAAATTGAAAATATTGTATTTCAGGTAATATGAGGATATAAAAGCAATTTATATTGATGGTTATATCATACATGTCATTCTTTGCTTAATAAACATTAAGTTGTTAAGAAAGGAACTTGTGTGACCACACCTTCCATAATCACATTACCTGAGGTAATGAGGCAAATTAAAGGATGGCTTATATAATTGGTGATATTAATCAGATGTGTGTATTTTGGGGGAGGGGTAAAATCCACCAAGGATTTTTGGAAGGAATCAAGCTTGTGGATTGTCCTAGATCCTTCACTCCCCCTGTTTATTCCAGTAACAACTGTGGCTACAAGCGCTTTTTACTAGTTTTAATAAGTTACATATAACCTATTTCTTGAAGACAAAACAAAGTAGCATGGGTCATACATGTCCTAGACACATCCACCTCTATGATGTGATT